AATTACTTGTGCACATTAAGTGCACATTATAATCTAAAGTATGAAATTTAATAGTCACTGAGATTGTGATATTAAATTATTTTTTTATTTTGAAAGATTAAACATGACAGCAAAGGTAATCTAAATGCAAATATAGGGAGAATGAGCATGTAACATTAAATATCTGAAAATAAGCTGACTTATATTTCATAAATGTAAAAAATCTCTATTATCAGCTGATATGGTACTGATAAGACGTGCATCCCATATGATATGCAATATTTTCAAGATAATTACTGCATACCATACATTTGCTGATTTAAACATGCACAACTGTTTGAAATGTTAATGACTGCATAATGTTCTGTTTCATATACCATTTTTAAAGAGGCAGTATTCAGTATATACTATGCAGTAGTCAGTAAGCAGTAGTTTTTCATTCAGAACACAGCTTGATATTAAGACTTATGTAGTTACACAACTCAAAATATACTCTTGAATGGCAGGTGGCGTGTGCCTGAGCTGTCATGTCCAAGGAGATGCACTTCGTCACTGGATGGACTGCTTGAGGAACAAGGGTCAAAGGGTGGAGCGCTGGCACATTCTGACCAATGAGCTGCCTCAGACCACCTGCCATGATTGAGGAAGAATCCTGCCAGGAACGAGGAAATCAGTCATGATAGGTTAATTGATTTGATTGATATGAGGTGGACATGGAGATAATTATATGAGCTAACTAGGGGCCAGGATGTTGGAAGTAAATTACACACTTAGTGCTGTTTAAAAGGGAAGTGGAGGATGGGCCACCAGTTGTCTTCTGACTTGGTGTCACTCAAAGTGAGTCCCCGCCCCTTTCACCCACTTCTCTCACTCTCTCTCTCACGCTCATTGCTGCACGTTTTCTACACATTTTGTAACGTTGAAGTGTATTTTACTCTTATGAAATCTTGTGTAGCACAATTCTCTTTTTTGACTAACTGATTACAATGTATTTCAATGTCCAGTGCTTTCGTAATGCTTGCAGACAGCACATCGTTAACAAAATACGGGGTGCATGTAAACTGCCTGCCATAAATGCATCAAAATGATATACACATGCTATCGCCATGACAACATGGGAATGTCTTTAAGGGCTTGCCCTCTCAATGTTGTCAATCATATTTAAAACGAATACAATTTCATCAGGTGCAGGTTTATGTGTGCTGCTAACAAATAGACTATCAATTTTGTAGCATGATGCAATGTTTACATTTTTTACTTTGCACCAGCTGTGTTTTCCAAGGTCTCAAATTTGGCGGTTTTCAATTTCCAGTTGTTACTTTTCTTTAAAAAGGGGTTTTATGGACATGCTACAATTTGATATCGCATATGTTAATTACTTGATATATTTTTGGAATCAAATGTTTATATGTGCCATATACTAGGACTATCTGGAGTGCGTCTGCATGCGTACGCGTGTGTGTGTCGTCTGGTTGTTTTGTACCAAAAAAGTGCAGTATTCTTGAGGCTTTGTGGTTTACATTTATATGAAGTGATTATGTACAAATTGGAAATACATTTGAAATGCATTGCTCTTTAAAGATGTGCATCATTTCCTTGCATCCTCTTGAAGCAAGCTTAGAAACGTCTTAAAGGGGTCATATGATGTTGCTAAAAAGAACATTATGTTGTCGTGTCCCGGCGCGACGAGACAAAACCAATAAACCCCATTACAAACTAGGCATTTGTTGCATCCAGTGGGGACATAATTACGGATTATAATGACTTATACTGTCTTTTTACACATTGCGCATTGCATTTGTGATCGGAGAAATGACAAACAACAAGTGCTACTCTACACTGCTCAAAACTCACGTTTGAATCATCAGTGGTAAATTCTTTAAATATGAAAACGTACTTACAGTCTGTGAGTAAGATCAACCGGAATTGTAGTCTACTCTCCCAGGATCAGGAAACAGTCCTCCATAAAATGTGCTGCACACATCTGGATATTTGGGTTGAACTGTTCTGGAACAGTGTTGTAAATACAACTTAACTACTGATTTCTCGTTGTGTCCTCTTTTGGAAGGCCAAACAAAGTATTTTTGCTTTCTCAACAAAACACACAGCATCTTCAAAACATGACGGCGGTGTTGGCAGCAACAATAAAGTTACGCCTTCTTTCTTTGCGTGAACATTTGGCGGTATTATGCAAATCTTCCTACACAGTGATGTAGACATGTGGGGGTGTGTTTAAACGAGGCGTTTTAGGAGGGCGTGTACGAGTCTTAACTTTCATAAAGAATATCTCTTTGGGTTTGAGACTTTAGTCTTTGCAACTTTGCAACTTTAGGGATCTATCTTATCTATTCAAGAACAGCTTGTAACACTCCAAAGAGAAAGGAAAACTTGAAATCGCATCATATGACCCCTTTAAGAATTACGATTCGTAATCGCTCCGGCAAGCAGAACATCTATCATGGCACACCACCAACATATAAGCACACTTCATCTGAATGATCACATTTGCAAAGGCTTTATTCTGGGAGTTATTGTGGCGTTGTTCTAGCAATTGTGGATTTGGGTATCTTTACACCAATAAGCAATAAGATACTCTCTAAATGGGATTCCAAACCAAGATAATATTAGCCTTTCCTACTGTGAAAAACCACTGCTCTGATTCTGTGGTTCTTCAAGATGCATCTGGTTGATTATATGTTCAATGAGTAAATGGTAATTAGACAGCCACTTAACAGCACACCACAGTGAGGTAAATGTGTCAGTGTCACTGTATCTGGCCCGGGGCATTGCCACTATCATCATGCACCCCAGCAGTAAACATTTTGGATGTCTCCCTTATCTGACCATAACCATTTCAGGTATTGGAGATGAGTTTGATTATATGTTTTTTACTCGCACAATTTCTATATTATAAGGTATTTTAGATCTTGGCATAACTAAAAATGTCTTTATATAAAGTTTTCATTTATTTATTATAAAAATCCTCATTGAGTTATAAGGTTTTATTAATTTACATGTCATTTTCAGGTCTGCAAATCAAACTTTAAAAATTAGGATAAGTTTTTTTTATTGTTTGTTTATTTGTTTTTCCTTAAGAGAGAATGGGTGTTGAGGGGGTGAATGTAATTAAGAAATATCTTGATTTTTAGTTGTTTTGGCTCATTTTAATGCTTGTTTTGACTTGTTTAAAATAATTTTAAGCCATCTGAGGCCCCCTTAAAAGTTTCCTAAGTCCCCACCTTGTTAAGAAACACTTAGCCTTAAAAGGTATTTTATCTAATAAATGAAGATTATACCTCAAGTCATACTGATGGTAACTTTTTACATACTGATTGTAACTTTTAAAGAGTTAGTTCACATAAATGTCAGCATTCCTAAATTCTTAAATCATTTACTCACCCACAAACCTGTATGATGTTCTTTCTTATATTTAGCAGAATGTCTAAGCTGCTCTCATCCATACAGTGAAAGTGGATGGGTATCAGGGGATGTCAGGCTCCAAAAAAGACGAACGTGATAAAAGGATCATATACATCTCATTTGCTATATTAAAGAACAGTCCAAAACATTCACTGCAAATTTTACCTTACCTTACCACAAAAGAAAGTCAGTCACACAGGTTTGGAACAACATAAGTGTAGGTGAATGATGACAGAATTTCTATTTAAAATCATAATCAGTAAAACAAGCCCTCAAAGCAGTGGTACTCAACCAGTGTTTTCCATAAACTTTTTAGACATTGTTGTAGACAGTGGGGGCCTTAGAGTAAAAAAGTTTGAGAAACACTGCCTTAAAACTTTTGTAATGGATAAAACTTTATCCATATCTCTTACGTGAAAACTTTCAGCAAAAGGGTGAACCTTTTCCCCAGGCTCTGGTTCAACAAATCAGATGACATAGTTAGGAAGTAACTACACTAAACTTGAAATGGTTTGTCTTATTCTAAAATTGCTCAACATCGCCACCTAGTGGGATCTAGTAGAAACCATTTGAATTTAATTTTTTTTTACATTATATAAACCTTAAGCTGTGACACAGGACCACAAAACCAGTCATAAGGATACATTTTTTGCAATTGAGATTTATACATCATCTGAATAAATAAGCTTTCCATTGATGTATGGTTTGTTAGGATAGGACAATATTTGTCCGAGATACAACTATTTGAAAATATGGAATCTGAGGGTGCAAAAAAATCTAAATACTGAGAAAATCACCTTTAAAGTTGTCCAAATGAAGTACTTAGCAATGCATATTACTAATGATAATACATTTTTGATATATTTACCGTAGGAAATTTACAAAATATCTTCATGGAACATGATCTTTACTTAATATCCTAATGATTTTTGGCATAAAAGAAAAATCGATAATTTTGACCCATAAAATGTATTTTTGGCTATTGCTACAAATATACCCGTGCGACTTAAGATGTTGTGGTCCAGGGTCACATATACTGATCACCCTCCTGTATGGTTTAGTTAAACACTGCCTGAAATGTTCAAGTGAACCTGAAGATCTTGATCCACTTGTTCAGATGTTCAAAGTGAAAAATGAAAATGATTTCATTTCAAACTTATGACTTACGACAAACTTGTGTCTTTCTTCTGTGGAATGTAAAGGAAGATATTCTGAAGAATGCTGGTAAACAAACAGCTTCGGTTCACATTGACTTTCATTTTATGGATAAAAAAAAAAACAGTGGAAGTCAATGGGAATGGAAACTGTTTGATTACCAAAAATCTTCAAAATTCTTCTTCTTTATGTTCCACAGAAGAAAGAGCTCGGGTTCTCTATTCCATTCTCGGGTGGACTAGAGTTGGAACAACTTTTTTAGAAGGTTTCATTCAAATATGATGTTTTGCACATTGTTTAATAGGTCTTATAGACCTTCGTCTGCAGATGATAGAGAAAGCCAAAAGAGTAAACACTCTGTCAAATCTCTAATCAAACGATTTAAAATATAACAAAGAGTGAAAAATTTAAGGGGGTCTGAATACTTTCCGTACCCACTGTACTAAAAGCAACAGAAAACAGCTGGCAATACTGGCACTTGTTTGTTGCCTCCTACTGGTGTGATGGCAGGGGACATGACAGGAACATGAAATGAATTTCAACAACATCATCAAACACTATACTCGAAAGGTTTTCTGAGGACATGAAGATCAACATGTGACTTATTATATTGTTCAGCGTCTCTCATTCCTGCCCACAACATGGCACATTTTACATGTCTCTATTATCTAGCACTGCTGATAGTAATCAGGAGCAGGAAAACTGCGACTGCACATGTCACGATCACTAGGGAAACCTTCCCATGAGTCTCTCCTGTAGCTTAAGTTCTGTTTAATTTGGCTGCTGAGGCAGAAACACCATTGCCTCGCCTATTATGAACACGCATGTGATTTCGACAGGTGTAGGCATCCTTAAAGCTACGCGCACACACAGGACAGTCAAACAGACGAAGCTGCAGATGCACGCGGCTGTGGTTCCTCAGAGTCCCGTCGTTGTTGAAGCGTTTCCCACACTGAGCACAAGCATACGGCTTCTCCCCTGTATGAATGAGCATGTGCACCTTTAGCCGTGAATGATGCGGGAATAGTTTTCCACACTGTGGGCATATGTGCGTCCCAGGACCTTTGACTCTTCCTCGTCCCCGTCCTCTTCCCCTACCCTGCCTGAATGCCGCGTGACGTAGGGGGTTGACCGCAACGTTAGCTATACCGAGATGACCGTTGCCGCTAATAGTGTCGTTCCTGACTGATCTTGAGTCTGTGTATTGATGAGCGGTGTTGTAGTTGACATGAGCTACGCCTGATTCAGGACAAGTGGTCTTTAACACATTTTGGCTTATTTTACTGACGGATACTTGCAAGGTTTTAGGCTTTGGCTTCGTACATTTAGCTGATTCTAGATCAGTGCAATTCAATACACTGAACACTTTAGGATCAGACTTGTGGTTAATATCAGTAGTAGATGGTAACTGAGCAGTGCAATGAGGTAATGGACTGTAGACGGATATGTTAGCATTGGTAGACTGTGAATCAAGATTTTCAAAAGGCTCTGTTTTTACACCACAAGGAAATTCGTTTAAAGTGAATGCTTCAAAGTCCTTATCTGTGTGAGCCAGTGTGTTTGGTAACTGGGGACAAGGTATATCGATGTCTGATTCAGTCACCAGAAGAGCATGGTTGGAGAACTCTTCTACTTTCGTGCTGGTGAGCTGTTCATTTTGTACCTGGTTCTGATCCTGATAGATCTCTGTAGCCATTGTTTCAGTTTCAATGCTAGAAGTCCATTTTAGATGTGGTGGTGGTGATGATGGCGCAGGGTTTGAAATGGCTGGATCTGAAAAAGGAGAAAGGTGTGATGAGATCGGGTGAAAAAAAATAGTAACTCTAACTCCTACTTAAGACTGGAATATACTACACAAGTTTTGGCAATATTTTTGTTGCCGAAAGTCAGACTTCACAGAAACTTGTGTAGTGTATGGTGTTCACAGACTCCTTTTTTAAATTTTTTTTATCTTTGATTAAATACAGTCAGAGGATATTAAACAAGATATTTTAAGGCTGGAATACACTACATGACTTAAAATCTGAATAGATTCTAAAACACTAGTCATTATACACTTTATACGACTTTGTAAATATTCATAAAGGAAAACTGGCCATCATACACTAAACTTCCAGACTTTCGAGTTGTTCCAATCACAACAAACTCAGGCAGAAACGTGCGCTTTGTTGCTAGGAGATGCATGAAAAATTAAAACATGTATTCTAAAATCGGCTGAAAATATCAAACATGTTTGATATCCTCCAACTGGATGGAATCATAGTCTGAAGCTAAAAAATCGTCTGTGAGTCTGTGACCATCATACACTACGTGATTTTCTGTGGAATCTGTCAACTCGAAACTGTAAATCGGGGGAAAAGTCATGTAGTGTATTCCAGCCTTTAGGCTGATTTTAGAACACATTGTTTTCCTTTGTTATGTGCCTCCTAGCAACAAGGCAAAAGTTTCTATGTGAGTTTATTGTGTTCGAAAAGACTTGTGTATTAGAAAGTGTATTATGCCCAGTTTTTAAATCGGCAATCTGTTTCTAACCAATTATAAAAGTCAGTGTAGTGTATTAAAGCCTTACAGCCAATGGTTTAGGGTTCAAATATTTTCATAACTGGCCCTTAAAGTAAAACATTTATAGACATGGGTTGGTTTGGGGCTTTAATTACACCCAAATAAATAAGGATTCTATTTTATTATAAGCAGTGAGTGTCCAATTTTATAGGAGATTCCTATAAAATTCCTGTATTCCTGTAGCTATAAACATAAAGCATGGCCTAAAAGTAACATATTGGCTACCTAGGAGAATCCTGAAAAGTGGCATAGACATAGGTCTGTATGTAATATTCCCTGTTCCCTACATGAAATATCTTAAACATTACAAACATTTAAACATGTAAATGATAATTTTTTTAAAGGATAAATTGGACCAGACCGTGAAGGAACAAGTGACCGACATTCATGGAAACTCAATACTGTTTAAGTAAAAGTAAAATTGTTTTGGTTTGTTTCTCATTTTAATCAGTACATCATTTTCATACTTTCCTTTGTGTTAATTCATAGTTTTGAAGACTTTACTGTTATTCTGACAAAGGAAATAGTAATAAAAAAAGAGTGAGAAGGTGTGTCTAATCTGATCATTTATACAGACTGTGTATCAAATTGATGTACGTGATTAATTTGACATGAGTTACTGGTTTATAAATATTACTTTTTAAACATTACAAAATATAATAAACATTATCTATATTAAATATTTGTTTATTAGTTTATAATCCTATATACATGTAGAACTTCCCTTACAACAAATTAAATACCTGCCTGTAAAACTATAATACATTTATCTCCTACAAAAAGCTTTTAGAGTTTTTCTGCCATTGTGTTTAACTTTTTCATAACAGAGGTGGCTGTATTTTTACTGTTATAACCATGTTATTTCGGCGGAAACCATGGTTTCCACGGTAATATGCGTAAATAACGGCTGTAAATTACGTCTGACTTCGGCAGAACGCATTATTTTCTATTAAGGGTCGATGTACCGTTTGACTCGACGATTTTCTCGATCTCCTTCAGTCTCTTCTTCAGATACTCGTTGTCCTTCTGCACGCTGTCCAGCTCTTTTTCATACTGCAGGACAGTCCCGCCGATCATGTCCATGATTTCATTGAGCGTCGCCATTAAGCGCTCCGTCAGAAACGTGTTGATGACCTGCAACTTTGTCATTTTGCTGTTAGCTCGCAGTAAATGCAGTTATTTTATATTCGTCGTACAGTAAGGCAGAATGTAAACACTCGTCCCTGTGCGGTCATATGACCATGTATATGTTCCTCTAACAGGGTTGCCAGGTTTTCACAACAAAACCCCTCCCAATTGCTACTTAAAACTAACCCAATCGCATTCCTAGGGGTAAAATACACGGTTGTTCTTTTTTTGTGGCGGGGTTCCCCTGGTAAAATGCGCATTCCAGGGGCTAAATACCACGTTTTGGGGTCGCTTCAAACCGCGGACATGAAAAACAACCCGCGGCAACAGTGTTAAAGTAGACCAATTATCCAATTATTCGGCGGTAAAACCGGGGACCTGGCAACACTGCTCTTTAACCACAGAAATAAACCGATTCAGCGCCTACCAAAGGAGAGGAGTGGATTAGAAGGTAAGGAAAGAACTATCACTTCTTCTTCTTCTGTTGATTTATTGGCCGGTTGCAAACCAACTAGACAGTATGGAGGACCAAACCTGCAGAAATTAAAATTATAAGATAAGTAAATAAAACTTAAAAAGAATAAAAATAAATGTAAAAATAAATACAGAAAATAATACATATAGGAAAAAGGTCATAAAATAAATTCAAGATTAAATTTTATTACAAATGAACTATATTTGTTTTTATCAAGTAATTTATTTCTTTATTTTCCTGTTATTTATTTATTTATTATTTCTGCAGGTTTGGTCCTCCATAAGACAGGTGCATTATAACACCACAGTCATTATCGCCTTTATTGTTCTACCAGTTTCAGACCCAATATTTAAAAATACAGCACAAAGTGAATTTTGTAATTCCAGAAGCTTATAATTCTCTTACAAGTTTAATTCCTTCCTTCCTTGTCCATATTTGGCACATCTAATTAATGTTTCTTTTTCTAATAAATATTACATAGACCTGTATTGTGTTTGCTTATAGTGTGAAGTGTGGCATTTAGTTATACTTAATTTTGTAAATATAATATATTCCTTCCTATTTACGTTATGACTAATTTTAATTAGCTTTGTTACTTTGTATTCTATGCAAATGTCTGCCTGTCTGACACATGTCCCAGTACTTCTTTGTACTTCCCAGTTGTGTGAAAACAACATGATTCTGTTAGTCATAATGAGACTTTCTCATAATTATGACTTAACATTTCACATCGAGAGAAATTCTCATAATAGCTTAGTATAATTATGAATTATGATGACTTATCCATATGTCTCATAATTCAGTTAACCCTCATGTGGTGTTCGGGTCCTTTTTGCTCTGAAAAAAATTTATTTTTCCTGAAAATACTAGTTAATGTTATCGCATTGGACTGAAATTTTGTGACTTCGTTCACAAAGGGTACAACTACTTCTAAAAAAAATTTCTGATCATTTTCATACTTTTCTGGGGGAGATTTTTCACCTTGATAGCATACGCTGTTTGCGTTCAGTGGATATTCTCCAAAATGGCACCAGGGTGACGTGGAGCAGACAAATTGTTGAATAAAGTCGTTATTTGTTTTCTTTGCGTACAAAATGTATTCTCATAGCTTCGTAATATTCCTTTTTGGTCCTTTTTGCTCTGTAACCTCGTTAGTGTGATAGGGTTCTGAACACAACACAAGGGTTAATGTTGTAAGTACCGGTATATATAATTATGACTTAGTATAATCTCATAATGAGAAACTTTCTCATAACAACTTCACATCTCATAATAAGAAACTAAGTCATTATTACGAGAAAGTTTCTCATTATGACTTACAGAATCTTTTTTTTTTTTTAACTCAACTCTGGGCAGAAAGGGGCAAAAATACAATGCTTGAGCTTTGTTTACACCTACATAAACCTCCTTTATTCATGTTCCTATGTCTATAAATACAAGATTTTTAAGTTGAACAACTAACACAAAATTTTTTAGGTGGCTCACACTGAAACAACAACAAACAAAATTCTCAACATGCTGTTAAACCAGGATTCATTTATTGCAAAAATGAGTATAAAAGACAAATCAAGTTCAAAACATTTTACATTTCAGGGGTGGTAAAATATTCTGTAAATGTCTGTAAAATGATTAAATCTCTTTTGTATTACAGTTTTCTTTGATATTATTCATGCCCTAGCTAGTATGTACATCCTGTTATTTTTTTAGACAATACGATGATGAAGTTACTTACAAGCTAAAGATTGTGACGTTTTTTCCAAACAGTACGATTCTATAAAAGTGACATGTGGCCAAGTATGGTGACCCATTTCGGAATTAGTGCTCTGCATTTATCCCATCCAAAGTGCACACACACAGCAGTGAACACTTGCTCAAGGGCACCTCAGTCGTGGTATTGAAGGTGGGAGAGAGCGCTGTACATTCCCTCCCCCCACCGACAATCCCTGCCGGTACGAGACGCGAACCTACAACCTTTGGGTTACGAGTCCGACTCTCTAACCATTAGGCCACAACTTCCCCCCATTCGTCTGTAACCATAATCAAAAAGCTTGGATGATTATTGTGTGCATAAATTTCTGACTGCCCTATCTCAACCCACTCTGTATGATGTAGATTTTTCAATTCGTTTGAAAACACTCAAAGGTTGGCCATGATGCACAAAAGCCAGTGTCCACACTGACCGAAAGTGGTTTAGTGGTTTTCACACAGTCTTTCTCGTAATCTCTTTCATTCGTCTCTTCTTAGCACTGCCAAAGATTAGCGCATTTCCTGCAGGAATAACACAAAGATAATGTCTGGCTTTCCTCATATTTATCTTATTATTTAAGCACCATAAAAGTAGTTGAACAGAAAATACTGTACAACAGCATATATATATATATATATATATATATATACACATACAGTTGAACAGAAAAGACTGTACATATATGCGCATATATAAAATCAGATGACAAATTATAACGTCAACATTTACCATGTTTCATCCGAAGGTGCTTTAGAAGAGCCGACGTTGTGTATTCTTTGCGACCACGAGATATGACGGCCCTACACATAAGGCACACTGCTTTGCTACAGTCTCCCTCTTTTAGAGAGAAATACTTCCACACAGGGCTTGATTTTGCTATTGTCCTCTTTTGCATTTCACAGCATTTACTGCTACAGTAAGCCCTGTTTGTACATAATATGTTGTGATATGAAACGTGATTGGCATCATGAGATGAGCTGTTATGCTGAGATACTGTGGCAGGAGCTTCGCTGTCAGCGTATGTTGGCTGGTTTGGGTGCTGTGCTCTGTAGATATCCGATGTCCCTAAAGGCAAATCTGGGCTGTGTGGCGACCAGCTCTGATATGCATCTTCAGTGCTTCCCACTGCATCGCCTGAACACAAGCTGGAGTTCATGAATTCAACTTTGATTTTAGATGAGAAATGACAGTTTGTCATTTCATCCTCAATAGGATTTGTGTTGGTGTGATCAGCGCACATGTGTGAGCCCTCGTCATAGGTGGCTTTTGATGGCAAAGCTACGGATTGCCTGTAAACATCGACAGAGTATTCGGGCTTTTCCGGTTTTATGAACGGGTGTTGTTCACCGATCCTCTGGCTTTGGTCCTGCTGGATCTCTTCAACGGGTTCTAGCTCCTCATTCTGGCTGCAGATCCATCCGGGCTGCCCAGGAGAGAAGGGCTGATAAGACTGCACAGGAGCTGAGAAAAAAAACATAACATTTTCTTCATGCAGATAAAAAGATATAGTAGAACTGAAAATCCATGTGAATCTGTAATGTTCCCTACAGCTACAATATGGATATAGTATTGAACATTCCTTGATGACATTAGACTTGAAGACGCATAGCTTTTGTTCCTCTGTGTAGTTTATTAATAAAACACAAAGCTAGAACAGAATGTATTAAAGGGCTCCTCCTCACTTTTTTAATATAAGAACCAACAGTCTTAGTCGTGATGAAACAGAGGTAGCAACAGATATTTTCTTCCGTATTGTGATGTACATTCGAGTGAAACAAATTATCGAAAAAGAAAAATTCTAAGGCAGGGACTGAATTCTATTCATTGGCTGTTGATTGGATTTTGAGATGTGTGCATTGTACTCTATAATGCAAGCAGGTGAATTCTAGCTTGCAGTGGGATGGTTTAAGTGGACTAAATGGTTGGGGAAGACATGCAGGGCCGTTTCTAGGCATAGGCGAGCTAGGCGGTCGCCTAGGGCGCCACCAGCTGAAGGGGCGCCAATGAGTGCACGTACTGGCACTTTTAGCAGGGTTGTGATAAAGAGTGGCACGGATATATATATATATATATATATATATATATATATAATTTGGGGGGAGGGGCAATAGAGATTTCGCCTAATGCGTCAAATTGGCTAGAAACGGCCCTGAAGACATGCATAAGTCTCCAGAGAAAAGTAATTACACCAGAAGAACGATTTATGATATTTTGATTATTATGAGGTCAAAAAAACTAAACAAAACACATATGCATAGATTAATGGCTCACAATAAGATCAATAATACGTTAAATAGATGTTAGAATATAGATGGGGTGGATTTTCATTTCAAATCATGTTTTAACGTCACAGCAGTGAACCATCATTTGCTACTAGTTGTTGTGAAAATTATATTCTGGAAAGCATTTTGTTTGGACAAAAATTGGACATGCCCACGAGTGCATGATATGAGTCAATAATATTTTTGGTCCTTTTTCCCGAAAGAGACTGTAAAAATGCGTAACGTATATTTAATAAAAGTTTTGTCAACTTTTAAGAGTAGACTACACTAGATAACACTGGATTACACTGAATTAAAAGCCACAAAACAAAAATTGTATTTAATGGATTGCTTAACTCGTGCAATAAATTTTTTCATAATATTTTTAATGTCTGTGTCGATTCCCACATCCTCGAACACCATGTAATCAAGAATAGATACATTTATGAATGACCTCGTGGTCATGGACTCGTGACCACAACCAAAACACACGGAAAAAATTAAAGGGGTCATATGATGCTTTTTTAAAGATCATTATTTTGTGTATTTGGTGTAACAGAATATGTTGACATGCTTTAATGTTCAAAAAACACATTATTTTTCAAATACTGTACATTATTGTAGGTCCTCTATGCCCCGCCTCTCTCAAACGCTTCGTTTTCTACAAAGTCCCTCCTTCCGACAAGCGCAGTCTGCTCTGATTGGCCAGCTGACCCAGTGCATTGTGATTGGCCGAACACCGCAAGCACTCGTCGGAAATGTAATGCCCCTTACCATAATCGCGAGCTTCATCTTTCAAAATAAATGTAAAGACAGAGCCCGAAAGGGGAACAGAGTCGTTCGACAGACACAGGTATGAAGCTGGTATGTGTGCAGTACACAAGCCACGGTTAAGACAGCTGACTCCACTGTGATGTGACCCCCTCTCTCTCTCTCTCAC